GCTGCTACACTGGCTGTCTTCATCTGCATCTGTTCGTGTGTACGCGATAGGAGGGCTAGGTCATCTGCGAAGTCCAAATCGTCTAATTGATTCTGAGCTGTCCATTGTATTCCGTGTTTTCCTTCAGATGTCGAGGTCTTCATAATCCAGTCGACCACCAGAAGAAAGAGGAAGGGAGAGAGTAGACAGCCTTGTCTGACTCCAGTCCTTACTTGAAATGCATCTGTCAGCTGTCCTCCATGCACTACTTTGCACTGTAGTCCGTCGTATGAGTTCCGGATAATGATGACAATCTTCTCAGGAACTCCGTAGTGTCGAAGAAGTTTCCATAACGTTCTCCTATCTACACTGTCAAATGCCTTTTCATAATCAATGAAGTTGATGTATAGTGACGAGTTCCACTCAACTGATTGTTCGACGATGATCCGTAGTGTTGCAATTTGGTCTGTGCACGACCGATCCTTACGGAATCCAGCTTGTTGATCTCGAAGTTGGGCGTCTACTGCATCCTTCATCCGGTTCAGCAACACTCTGTTGAAGACTTTCCCTGGTATTGACAGTAGTGTAATGCCTCTGTAGTTTTCACATTTGCTCAGATCTCCTTTCTTTGGAATCTTGATGAGGTGTCCTTCTTTCCAGTCCATCGGCACTTGTTCCTCCTCCCAAATCTTTTTGAATAGAAGGTAAAGCATGCTTGTGGTTACTTCGACGTCTGATTTCAGTGCTTCAGCTGGTATGTTGTCGGGTCCTGCTGCTTTCCCGTTCTTGATTTGTCTGACGGCCATTCTGATTTCTTCCGTCGTTGGTGGGTTGACATCTATAGGAAGATCTGTGTGTGCTGCTTCGATGTCCGGTGGATTCATTGGAGCCGGCCTATTCAGGAGTTCCTCGAAGTATTCTACCCATCTGTTACGCTGTTGTTGAATTTCGGTGATTGGCTTGCCTTCTTTGTCTTTGACCGGCCTCTCTGGTTTACTGTATTTCCCTGCTAGTTTCTTCGTTGTATCGTAAAGCTGTTTCATATTTCCTTCTCTTGCAGCTTTTTCTGCCGTCGTTGCTAGTTCTTCCACGTATTTCTTCTTGTCGGCTCTAATGCTCCTCTTCACTTGCTTGTTTGCTTCTATGTATTCAGCTTGTGCTTGGACTTTCTCTGCTCGTGTTCGGCTGTTGTTAATTGCTGCCTTCTTGTTCTTCCTTTCTTTGATCTTGTCCAGTGTTTCTATAGAGATCCATTCCTTATGATGGTGTTTCTTTAGGCCCAGAACCTCTTGACACGTTGAAGTTAATGCTTCTTTGATGCCTTTCCAGTTGTCCTCCATAGTAGTTTCTTCTTTCAGTAGATCTTGTAAGGCTTGGAACCTGTTGTTGAGAGCTATCTTGAATTCATTGAGTTTGTCAGTATCTCGAAGGAAGGCTGTATTGAACCTTTGTAGTGCTGTTTGTCCACTTGTCCAGTTTTTCTTTAGCTTCAGTTTTAAATTGGCTACAACTAGGTGGTGATCTGAAGCTACGTCAGCACCTCTCCTGGTTCTCACATCTTCCATTGTCCTTCGGAATTTTTTGTTGATGCAAATATGATCTATCTGGTTCTCTGTAGTGTGGTCCGGTGAGATCCATGTAGCCTTGTGTATACGCTTGTGTGGAAATATTGTGCCTCCTATGACCAATTTGTTGAATGCACACAAATTTGCAAATCTTTCTCCATTTTCGTTTCTTTCTCCCAGTCCATGTCGTCCCATAATATCTTCATATCCGGTGTTGTCTATTCCGACTTTGGCATTTAGATCTCCCATTAGAATGGTGAGGTCCTTTCTTGGGCATTTCTCTATGATTGATTGCAGCCGCTCGTAGAATTGATCTTCAATGTCGTCGTTGCTATCATTGGTGGGTGCATAACATTGGATAATATTCATTGTGATCCCCTCCTTCTTTGTTTTGAATGATGCTTTGATGATTCTGGATCCGTGAGATTCCCATCCTACAAGTGCATTTCGTGCTACTTTGGACAGCATAAGAGCGACTCCCTGAGTGTGTGGAGCATATTCCTCTTCGTGACCGGAGTATAGCAGCATCTCTCCCGTAGCTAGCTTTTTCTGTCCAGCTTGGGTCCAGTGGGTTTCGCTGATTCCCAGTACTGTCAAGTTGTATCTCCTCATTTCCATTGCTATTTGACTGGTCTTCCCGGTTTCCCACATTGTTCGAACGTTCCATGTACCTATAAAAATTCCTGCCCTGGTTGTTAGAAGGGGCATCGGCCTCGTGGCTTCCGAAGGAACTCGGCTTTCACCATGAAGCGTCATAATTCTTCTAAATGAAGACCTTCTAACTTTCAGGGCAGAGTTAAAATGGTTTGAATTATTTTTTCTGGTAAGCGTTTTTTTAGCGAGTTAGATTTCTATGGGATGGGGACGCTAACCCCATGCCCAACCCTCATCCTTTACCCGGGCTTGGGACCGGCAGTAACTCTAGAAGAGCTACAGGCGGAGTTAGTAGGCATGTAAAGCTCCTTTAATTTGATGAAGAGTAAATTTCTGGCCGATGCATCCTCTTCTAGGCCCGAAACCAGACTGGTTTTCCGAAGTTTGTTGTTTACGAGCCCTAGTTAAAGACTGACTATCAAGGCTAATATTTTAGATACTATATTATTCAAACTGATTTCTGTGGTTGTCGCTAGGTTGTTTGGTACTCATATACCAGAACGATCAGTGATCGTAACGAGGTGGATTGGACCATGTCCAGTTCTCAAACTCTAGCCAGTATCTCGATAAATGTACTTATTAAAACTAGGCCACCATCCTTAAAGGTCTTCGGTGGTAACTCGGTATAGCTGACCTTTATATCAGATTATTTATGATCTTTTCAGGGTGGTTAAGAGTTGATGACTTATTTACATCTCCTATTCGGGTTGTTTGGAACTCTTCGTTTCAATTGTCTTCAACAAGTGTACATCAAAGTCCCATATTTCTTGGAGTTAGTTTCACAAACACTCAACGTTGTAATAACTGCTCGTTTGATAAGTTCAGTTAGTTATTTTTGGTTATCGATCACTACTCCTTTTAAGCATAGATAGATAAATATGCTACGATATAGCATAAGTTGGTTATATACAAATCCACAGAACGAATCATTGAATAGTAGAAAGATACTATATAAATTAAAAGTAAGTAATTTTGCGTACAGTTAATCACTACATTTTGACCCTATTGCCCTGAACCATAACATAATTAAATATCCAAGTCAAAAAACGAAATACCAACTTGGCTACACATCACTTATCTCTGAATAGCTACATGATAACAAAGTGCTGATTATTTAACGGAAAATAAATGGAACGTATAAATAATCTATTACAACCAGTTCTGATTTGTTTCAGATTCATTCTTCTGACATTTTTGTGTTCTCTTAAATCGTAGACATGTAATAAGCAGTTTGCTTTACGCACCTTATACTAAAGTACCATGGTGTCTTTGTCTTATTGCAATGCGAAGTTTAACACAACTCAGTTGTTAGCTGAACTAAGCAACTGAAATAAATATGAAACAATTTGTGGGTTGTCAGAACTTCGTAGGTATTTACGATTGAGCTAAAAGCGATTCGACTGTGAACAAGATTATCTCAAGCACTGTGTATGAATAAGAGCAGTTGTCGCTTCGCGGCTGACCATGCCATGGTAAGATATTTCTTCTCAAGTGACCTAAAAAAGAAACGTAGTAAGTCTTAGATTCCACTGCTAGCCACTATCCATCTTTGCTTAGTAGTAAAGAATAGTCTTGAGAATCTGAGAACATGACTACAGGGCTAAAGGGGGAACTGCTTGATGCCTGTCTGCTATGTTTGAAGAGATTATGAGATCACCTAAATCTACCAACAGATCGAAGACTTCGCAACACGACCAATAAGCTAACCATTCTATGCGTCCCAACCCCGCTAACTAGAAAAAGTTTAGGTTCAGAAGAGGGAAAGTGTATTCCACAAGCAGCCAGATGCACGAACAACAACAACAACAAGCATAACTCAAGCGTATATATACAGCATAAAAATTTCCTTGGTAAACGTCACAAAAATAGCACAATGAAAGAGGCGACGAACCAGTGACATTAAGAGTTCTGCCAAGTGAGAATTACGATATGAAGGTGAAAACTCGAGTTTCTAAAATAAGATTACAAAAATAAACGTTTACCAAGTGAGTCCTGATTATCCAGTATCGCCAACACTGTCATACATATCCTTTTTGTGAGTAATGTTAAATTTGCTGGTCCCGTGCTTATACGGTCTTACCACCAGTGACAGCAATCTGTTAGGTGAGTCAAGGTGTACTATTTTTTAGACACAACCTTATCTAACAGCTTCCCGTTATGGAAAGGCTGCACTGCTGCATAATTTGGTTGCCTGAAAGTGGCACCTTGCTGCCGTCACACTTGTGTGGTTGATAGTACGGTGTCCTTTTTGGGCCTCGAGTTTGGCTCCTTCAGACTTACCACAGTCCGACCAACTGGCCTGTAATAGCCAAGCCAAGACTGTTGGAGAATGTATTTCGGTTGTCGTCATTTGTTGCGATGCTTTTAACCCTCAAACGATGTCCAATTTTTTTATCCTGTTTATGCTACGTATGTTCAAAATTCTCAGAGTTGCTCAAGGCCTGTGTTGTTTGTATGAATGCTCCTCAGTGGGTAACAAACGCATCACGTTTTTAAAGATATGTCCCCATGTAGTTTACTGCGAGGATCATTTGCAGCGCACTGCATAAAAATCATTCAGGAAATACGCATTTGTCTGCCATTTTCGGCTACAGCATTTGTGTTAAACCTATTGGTACCACTTGGATTACTAGGCCGAAATAGGGGGGAGGAGATTCGGACTTGCTACACATTGGTCGCATTTCACGAGGTATATAGTGTAGAATAGTTTTATATGGTGCTTTCCAGATAGTTTAATAATGTTCAGTTTATTATGTTTGATACAAATTACTATTACCATTTGGTTTGCTCTCCCTTTTTTAGTGTGATCCCAATCTCACAGTTCGTTGTGTTTTTATTGAGTGTCTCAATACGAAGTTACCCCGTATTGCGCTTTACGCGTCTAGATTTATAAGGAAAGGTGAAGAACTTACATTCGACTACAATATGACTGGTAACTGAATCCTTTGTGATCTTTTTATATATAAATGTGTATATGTTTCTTATAGTTATGTCTTGCGCGACTAATGTAAATCTGCTAGTAATGAGCGTTTTGGATGGGATTAACAGAAAGCTTTCCAATCAAGTTTCTTGTTTTTTTTATCATTAATGAACAATGGAAATTGTCACTAAGAGTATATTTATGTTATTCTAACAACTTCAGGTGGTAAAATTAAACTAAATATATTTGCTCGAAGCTATTTGAATCGATTCCTTGAAGGGTTTAGTATTAGAACTCTTGTATAAATATCTTATCCAACATTGCTTGTACATCTTGCAAATGTGACCCAAGTCTCGTTTTTGTTGATTTCTTTCATTTGAGGTTATTTCCTGGGTAGCTTAGTTAAAAGTTTCCATTCCTTAGCACAAGTAATAAATAAAACAATAACTTTGTTTTATTTCGAGACAAACTTTCGAATTGATATGTTATTGTATAACACTATAGGACTTTTTATTTTCAGGTGCTGTGGCTGCGGACACTAGTGTAGTTATAGATGGTGCCGGAGAGGCGGAAACTCCTTCAGAAACCCAGTCAGGGTCATCGAATAATGGTGGGAAGAGTCCGACCCCATCTTCTTCCTCAGTTGACGTAACTCCTGACACAAGCAGTGAGGTGAGTGGGTGTTTGCAAGTTAAGTCTGTAGATTTATTCTAAAATATTTGCTTCTGTATTGTATTTTCATCTGACATACTACTCCAACTCGACTATCTTCGCTCGACTAGATGGCTTTTATTCTCTGAAGAAGTGGCTTACGCTGAGTCACGAAACGTCGGAAAATCTAATTTTTTGACTCATTGGGATATTACAAATATATTATTTTTATTTATATATGGCCATTAGTTTGTAACTCTGTCTCATCCCAATTGCGTATGAAATAAATATGTAACAGTGCAGCTTTATCTTGAACCAGTTATTTTGCTCCAGTGTGAGGTACTTTGTTGGAACTGCTTCTCTAGATGAAGTTATCTTTTTTTACTGAGGTTTTGAAGGTTGGGTATTGTAAACAACGTATATTTGCTTGACATGTAGGAATCGGTAAAACCAAACTGACCGAATTTTCTGAGAAAGTTAACTGTTCCCATTGCAGGTGATAATTTCATCATGCTTTATCTGGTTGCTCACTCCATCATTGTACCTGGTAATCAGTTAATTCCCATCATATCGTCAAATTCACGTTTTCGATGGCTCTTTAGAACTCATAGTTTCAGCCAATCACAGTCACTTTTAAAGTTTGTAATTTGATTGGCTAATTGATTTCTCTCTCTCTCTCACCTGCCCATGTATGACAGACTTTAATGGATTAGTCATATCAGCCCTATGAATGAGTCATGCCCAAAGATGGAGGCGCAATTTAAAAGGTCTGATCTGTGGATGGATAACACACAGATCATGAATGAGTCTTGAAAAAGTTAATCAGTAGTCGGGATTTGAACCGCTTCGACATCATTAAGTTATGGTTGTATGGGATAGACTTTTAATAACTTTTAGCAAATAACTCCAACAGATTGAATTTAAACAAATAAATTCTTGTAGTTCTCTGTGTAAAGTTTCATTTTATAAGTAAAGTTTTGGTGCCAGGATCAGCAGATCTTCGCGAATACTATATTACACATACTGATGGTAGTCTGGATTTCTAGTTCAAGTCAAATCTTATTGTGTTTCGATAATTTGGCAATATCTGGAATATTCAAAGTCCTACGACATGTTTGTATGGATTATTACAAATATGAAGGGGGGTTTTAAATTATTATCCAGTGTTCTATTGAACATGGATTTAATATCCGCCTCTTTTTCCTTGTTGGCCATATTTGTGTTACTACGTTGAAAGGTGCTTTAGGTTTATGGGACCAGTTAATTATACCATAGGATTCTATTCTGATTTATTGCTATTAAAGCTGAACAATGTCCAGCAATGGAACCTAGTAAAGCACCCTACCCATCCTATTTGAGACTCGTTGGGTCAATGTATCCGTTCTAGTGTTGATTTTCAGAATGAAACTCAAGTCCACTACTTTTTGCTTTAAGCACTACCGCGTTATCTGCTGACCTACTGAGTCCAGATATCTGGTAGCTTGTGCAACATGCACTGATTTTATTTGAAGGGTTTTTCCCCCATTACTGATGCTAAGAACTAGATATACGTCCTGAAAAGTTCACATAGGATGGAACGCTCATTCGGTTATTCACTGCTAGCCATTATTCAAATCTACCATTTAGATTCAGTTTACATTGTTTACTTTGAAAATAAAAATTCGTTTCCTACAAAGTAACACTATCATACCACTAATTTCAAAATGCTTCCACTTTGTTTACCTATTGCAGGTGTCTTTCGATAGCAAATCTCTGGGATCTAAAGTAAGAAATTTTTATTTGATTAATCTGGAATGATTTATTATTTAAAAAATATTATTTATGTCAGTTTTTTGACAGGTTTGTGTCAATAATTCACATATACAAATCTCTTTCAACAATTCACCATTCAGCACAATATAAGCGTCATTATTACCAGTACTATTGTTCATACCGGTATTATTACTTTACGTTCCAAACACTACCTATTGAAAGGGTGTTTTAAAACGATCAGTAGTCTTTTTATTATGAATGTTTGGCTTATGACCAGAACCGGATCAAAACGACTCTTCAGTACTTTGTAAATCCCCGCTAATTGCATATTTTTGGTTACCTGTAGAATGTTTCGAAAATTTCACTATCAATTATATGAAGATAACTATCTTTTATTTCAATATATCAAGTAGGTAAATTGTTGTACAAAATATCTGACATCGAATTTGGAAATCTGGTTTTGCAACTCATAGTGAACACTTAAGTCTAACTCCGAGTTGTTGCCTGATTTATATAAAAAGTAAACCTTTATTGTCTTTGTTAAAAAAGACTCAGAGGCGCTTATAATTTGTATGTCAGATAGAAAAACACTGAACAACCGGGACAAAAATAACAAACACAATGTGTCTGTTAGGTTATTGGAACTAAAAAGCTATCTTTTGGTCCAGTGGAAGTCCATATGCGACTGGTTCATGGAGTACTTCATGTCAGAGATTTCCATGTTTGAATTTTGAATATATCGTCTCCTTGATGTAAAATACGAAATATCGCAGCCGTATCTCTTCTCGGTCCGCTGATGTTCAGAGATCTTCCAAAGCTTTCTGCTATGATGAGATTTCTTTATTCCTGACAATAAAAAACGTTTGTCATGAATTATTCAAATAAATTTGTTGTTGAATATTTTACCACTTATTTCTTTTTCAGCTGAAAATTTCGTTAAAATTTGAAATAGTTGATTTGAGAATAGGTTTATAAACTTAAACTGTATGAATATAATGATTGGGGTTGTACAATATGTCAACACTAAACATTACTTATAAACAATGTAGTGTATAGATATACTCACTTATCATCGGAATGAAAGAAATCATTGATCTATTCCGTTTGTTAATTTCTTTCTCTACTGAAGAGCGGTTACTCATTAGTTAAAAGGTTTATTTATTTATTTATTTGAACACAAATATTGGTACGAAGGGGCATCAGATACATATGTTCCACACAAAAATTTCATTTGGTTTGTGTGTGGGCTGTGATACTGCCTGGGTACCCAGACCGAAGCAAGTGGTATTCTCGGGGGTCCACACTCGAAGCCTTCGACGTAAAGGTCTGATCCACAGGGCAGTAAAGCAACAATTAGGAGGTGCAGTCCCATGGTAGTCGGTGACCAATAGTAGGTTCATGTGCCTTTTGTTTCTTTAGGATCCTGGAGCCCATGTTCACCATTGGTTTGAAACCAGGGTTTCTCCATATCCACTAACTCGGTTAAAGCGCCGGGCATTCGTTTCTCGTTCTCTCAATTACCTAAACAACACCCGTGGCACGAGAAGGCAGTGAGTAAGACTTCCCTAACAGTGGCTGTATACGCGTGGCCATCCGTTTGGTTGTAGGTTCGAACATCACTTCACCTATTTCAGTTTTTCGGCAATCAGATGGTATCACTAGTTTGGAGCCTTAGAGTTTAGCTGGAAACCAGTTGTATTGTTCAATACTTTGTAAATGAATTTTATATTTTTCTTTTGTTCCACTTGTGCAAGTTTCGTCTGACAGTCATTTTTTGAGATAACTTTCACTTGATTTGTCTGTAAAAGAAGGGTTCTTCGTGTGTAGAATTAGCTGTAGTCCATCGGTTTTAGCATGTGGCTTGTGATCAAGTGGTTCACTGTCACTTCACTTCAACCGACTCAGTTTTAACAGCCAATTGACGTTTTTAAACGTTCACATAACAGGTACGTCTGGACTAAAATGTAGATAGCTTTGATAGATCATTTAGTTCTATTTAAGATAGTATTGACACTTGGATGATAGGCTTTTGTATCTATGATACGGAAAGCCGGATTTACTAGGTAAAGTTATTGATGTTATTGATTCGCAATATTTATTAATTTAACAATTGTTGTTTGAAACTCTATGCAAACGTTGTGTCGTGATTCGGAAAAGTATTTTTTTGTTTTTTGTCCATTTATCTGGAACACTGCATGATGAATATCCTGTGTGTTTACTTCATAATATATTGTTGAGGTAATAGTTTTTAATTACTATGGTAAACCATGTCTTTTACTAATTCTCGGATAAACATGGTGACGTCTTTGATCTTAGCAACTAAAGTAATATATTCATCTTGTGGCTGAATCATATATATGAATACTAATAACCTTAATAAAACTGATTTAACGTTTAAAGCACGGCCTTTAGTTATTAGTTCACAAATCCAAACTTCTGCTTACGTTCTAAACTTCATATTACATACCATAATACAGTGGTTACTGGAGTGTACATTGGCAATAGGGACATTATTATTGTTTACATTGGCATTTAAAGCTTCAATCCTGTTTAAAGTCATTATAATGGTGGTCCAGTGTATACAAGGATGAATTCCTATAGCTTTTAGACGTTTCTGTTATGGAAACAGGGATTCTTTATATCATTATTTTCCAAATATCATTTACCCGTTTTCGCTAAGATACTTCAACGTTCCCTAAGTATACTGAATTCCGAAGGTATTCACAACTTAAATCGGTCGTGAAATCTCATTTGGCGAAACGTTCTATAGTAACTAAGGTCTTGTTTGGATTCTTTCGTTGTGATTAAGTATCTAACCCTTGTCCTCAGTAGCTTTTCTTTGTATCCGGCTCCAGTTAAAGATTTAATTTTGATGATAAGCTCTTGGACTCATTATGTGCCTGCAAGCAGCTGTTCTATAAATTTATGCCCAATTCGGCTGATATATCGAAATAAAACCCGACACCATATATGCATTCTGTCGTATTATGTTTTTTGATGTTGAGTTGACCGATTATGAGACTTGAATCCGGAGAAATTTGTGAAATATTTATGACTGGCGAAGACATAGCATTGAACTTCTCTTGAGTTCGCTTAAACTTACTGTATATTTTCTCATTATCGGTTTTAATGAAGTCTCAACTTTTTCCCATTTCTGGTATAAATATCCTTATTTCACAGAATAAATTTTGTCTCATGTCAACAATTTTAGTAAATCTTGCACAATCTACTGATCTATAGTTGATATCGACCTTCAGGAATGTTTACTATTTCATACATTGAGTTAGGAAGCTATTTTACGATGTAGTAAGAGATTCATATCTGACTATGTGCGAATAACCTTTTGGGACTCGAATTTCAGACCTCAGATAATGGTCATGCCTTTCAGTTAAATATCCGAAATTCTCCATATGAAGATGTCATCTGTGACCTACGGTATGAACACCTGCAATTAACTTCAAAACGTTGTCTAAAAATTTAGTAAATTTATGGTTTAGATAGAAAAATTAACGTCATAAACTGAAACCCTTTGTAATGAGAATTGTCGCATTGTGCTGAATACTGACTATAGTAGTCTACTCATTTACTTATTCTTCTCAAGTGACTAAACCAGCTTTTGGTAATTGTTGTCTCATCCTTATTTTCTCTATATTCTTATCATTGACTTTGATTGTGTTTCCTAGGAATACTACCTTTACTGGCATAGAAACATTGAGCAGACTAAAATCAGGAGTACACAGCCCAACTACATAGAAATATAATGAAAAGTTGAAGCTGGTGTCTGTTTTTTTACTTAACAATACTGTTAACTTTGTCTCCCCACAATTTTGAAAACGTAGTTCGTGGTAAATTGTTAGTAGATGTCTCGTTTCTTAGTAATTGTCAACTTAAATTCCCTGTTGACCGAACTAAATTCCTGTTAAGACAAAGTTCTACACCCTTTTGTTGAGTTTGTATGTTTAATAGTTCTCAGTTCTTTCTGAACATGCAAAATCAAAAGATTTACTAAATTAATTGAAAACGAATTCTAACTAGGTAGCTATTTCAATAAAGATGTCTTAAAGTTTCAATTGTAAGGCATTATTCGTAAAATCGACATAATTAAAAATAAGATAGTTGCTCAGTGGTAACATCCTATGAAAGTAGGATTATTTCACCAACTGACCAATGTTGAAAGAATATCATTGGATTTCAAGTCCATGGCTACATCATGAGCTTAAAATTGGTGAATGCTCACTGTCAAGGAGTGTCAGGTTACGTCTATGTTGTCTATGCTTATTTGTCAACGGTGAAAATATGTCTAGTTGGCCAGTTTCTTCCTCATTAGCTTGGTTAGTCAGTTGTATAACATCTTAGGAGTGCGCTATGTAATGCTCAGTATGTTAAGGGCGTGTCAAGGTTTATATGTTTTTTATTGTCGATGTGTAAAAGTTCCATTATCTCATCAAACGTTGGAGCGCAAAGTACTGTGAATAATTGAAATACCACTGAGATTTGGGTCATCAATGCTGTCAGTGTACTGAATACTTTCTCTAAAATAATGGAGATTGCAGTATAAGGAACCATTCCGATTGATTAACGATTCTCATACCATGTACAAAGGTTTCTTTTAGCTTTAAAGACGTAACTAGGTGATTAGTTTTCCATAGATTTTGAAAAAGCTTGAGCATATTGCTTCATAGAATTTTTCTCATCTAGTTCCTTCTCAGATCTTATACCGACTACTTGACCTTTCTCAAGTTGTTTGGTTGTATGCTGTTTTATTTAACCAAACAGTAAGTATATCTATATAGTGTTTAGTCGGCAACAAAGAGAGCAGTCTTTATTGTTTTGTTCCTTGTACTCTGCAAAAGGCCTTTAAGTGTCGAAATGAATTTGAGTAGCGTGTAAAATACGAAATTTAGCTTACTATTGTAGAGAATTGCTGCATTAAGTGATTTTTCGGATCCATACACCTTTAATGCTAGTTGGATTTTCGAAAAAATACCAAAACTACACGGAACTGAGTTCGATCATGCCATTGTAATGCTACGAAGTGATTCTTAAATTTATTAGCATTCTTTTAAACTTAATCATGTTAGACTCATCTATTTGCTTTTCGTTCAGCTCACTTCCTTTGTTCACATGTATATATTACGCTTTGTTTTCTATTTGTGTCATAGGGTCCTCGTATGAAATGCTTATGTCGAAGTAAAAACTGTCGTGGATATTTAGTCAACTAGAAATTTTTACTGACTGTTTATGGTGTACGGTAAAGCTGAAATACAGTCTGCTTATAATCATATACAATGTCAGTTTTATCCACTCAGGCTTCATGTATTTTTAATGAACCATTAGGAATATTTGTATTCAGGATTATATTTGATTCTTATTTTATATCTATTGTAAATTATACTGCTCTATATAGCAAATATATATAAGTATATGTAAAGATAATTGGTATAGTTTGCAGATTAAATGTATACTTTGTGTCTTTGTTCATCAGCATTTTACAGTTTTTTATAGTGACAATAGATTTAAGGCACTGAAAATGTACGTCTATTCTTTTAAATGCTTCTATACATTTCAGTTGTTTTCATTTACTTTTATCCTGAGAAGGTAACATTTTGTTGTTAATATATTTACGATATATCTGTATTCAATGTTAATTTTTCATATTACCTGAGATGATTTAACAAAAGACCAATGTATATAAGGATGTAAAGGAATTACATCCTGTTTCTTATCATAAGCAGTATAACCATACAACTACATTCAATTGTTTTAACATATAACAAACATTGTTAATCAATCACTAAAAAAACCACTTGTGAGTTATATACCTGCACATTTGCCATTCACTTGGTTCGTGTGGAGTATTTCGAGTTAAATGAAGTCACATACCCGTTTTAGTGCTTTTCGGTTGGACCTTGTATACTCAAGATGCGTTGTTCAACTACAGGGGTCGATGTTGTGTTATCCACTTCACAGTTGTGATGTTATTTCCGAAATTTCCATAAAACTACCAACCATCCCCTTTAATCCTAAGAAAATGCTGAGTGGAGTAAGTTATTTAGGTAATTTCGACTGTACAACCGTCAGAAAGTGGTATATTTTCATATGTATTGAGCGGTATTTTATGGAGTTTAATGTGTTACAAAGGTGCTCTTTCGGTCTGCATAATAATTTGAAATTCTTCTGATTAACAAACATTCACTGTATTAATGAGATAGCCTTGTAATTGAAATGGCCATTTCGGATAATTGTTTTAGCCGAAAACAACATTTATTTTCATGTCACATTTGATTGGGTAGTCTTCGACCAATCACAATGGAATGTCTGCGCTGAATTAGATTTCAGCATTATTTTCACTTTTAATATGGCAGTTAGGTAAGACTTTTGACTTTCTTCTTAGTGATTCTATAAATTTATGTTAACTCTATATTTAAGGACGAACAAATCCCAAAATTTATTTATGGGAGAACTTTTTATTTAATATGCTGTCATGATGGTCATCGCGATTTTTATGCCCAGTATCGTCAGCGTGAATAGCAGATAGTGGTGCTAATGAGACATAGATCCCACTTAAATTTGCATATATTCTGTTGACCTAAACGTTTCGAACGGTATTTTTAGGGTCAAGATACAAATGTTTCATATGGGTTTATCTCATACGGTCTATTCGACAGACAGACCGTGAGAAATGTATGTGGACTGAAGAGACAGATTTAGCTTTGTTAATGAATGACTTGGCATTCATATAATAAGTTTCAGAAAACAAATGCGAATATAAATGACTGACACACATGAGGCCAGCACATCCACAAATCACATATGAATATGCCAAACAAAGCTACATATGACAGAGTACACAAGATGGTCAAAAGATATTTGGCCAGATAAGAATGATATGTTTAATAAGCAGACAATAGTGGATTACGCATTGGTTGCCATAATCCTTTATTAAAAGTATGGACAGACGAGGTGTCGTTACAAAATTACAGGATCGTGGATTTATTTACTCTGATGAACAAATTTCTCCAGGTCTAAGAAGGTACATACTTAGGCATGTTACACCTCGTAAAGGAGCATAGGCTGCCCACTAGTATTCTCCATCCAATTCTGTCCTTGAGAAACCTTCAAATTGCTATTCAACCTTTCCATGTATACTTCTAATTCCGACTCTGTGTTTTTTGTTCTTCTTTTCTATTTCTCTTCATAGTTCTAAGTTAGAGCTTGCTACAAGTTACAGTTTGATAGTTTCCAAAATGTATGTACTATCCACCTCCAATATTTTCTAATTCCCTCTTCAGATGGAAGTTTGTTTGTTCACCCCACAGTAGACTGTTGTTGATGGTATCCGGTCAACGGATATTGACTGTCCTGTGTAGTCAACTGTTTATAAATTCTTGTGCTTATTTGTTGATGGTTGTGGTAGTTCTGAAAGTTTCAGCTGCGCACATTAGGATTGGCTCAACGTTCGTATTGAAGATTGTGACTTTGACATTGGTTGATAGTTATTTTGAGTTACATTTGTTCTTCAACTGTAGGAATGCTGTCCCTTCTTTGACAATCCTTGCCTATATATCTGCATCAGATCCTACAAGTTAAATTTAAAATCATCCTAACATTATTCTTCATTATTTCGATAAATAGATTTTTTGCGCAATTATCTGCAAACGAACAGAAATCGAGTGTATATATTCTATGTGTTGATTTATTGCACTGTTCAAGACAACAATAGTACTTGCTTATTTTATTTGCAAATTTACTTCAATTTCAATTCCATTGTTGAAATACATCCTGAGGTTTTGAATAAAACTTAGTTCATGTACCCTGTACAGTCAAATTACAGCGATACCTTACACGTGACATGTGACCCTCAGGTATTCATGTGTAGCGTGGTGTCGAGTCCCAGTTGACTATGAACACCGCCACAGGAAAACACGTGCCAATAAAATCAGAAGGCGGAATATAACCAAGTTTATTTAGTTGGCGATCTCGTGGTATCGAATGAATACCAAGATCGTGCCAAGGAATGGTACGAGCGAAAGCAGGAGAACGGAGTACGTTAGGAAGGGTTTACACGTTCAATAAGTAGCAGTTTGATTCGAGGGACTGATCGGCTGACGGGCGATTGTAGGGCGAAGCAATTGGCGGAACAAGAGGCGGTCATTAATCCTCGAGTTGCCAACGAAGGTCTTTACCGGGGAACGGTACCAGGAGCCATGTGCTGCATTTGTTGCTCGAGTTAGCATACCACACCAGAGTGGTTTATATCCAGGATCTGAAGATTTCGTTCGCAGGGGTCCGGACCAGAAAACGCTGCAGACGTAGGACGAAACCACGTTGAGCCAAGAAACCGAAAGCGACCATAACGTACAAGTGCGAAACCAAACATATGTCAGGTCGATTCGAAACCAGAGTGTCAACTGAGTGCGTTGACTGGAGCGTAGGTGATCAGGCCAGCTTTCGCCAACGTTGACTGAAGTCGACGGTACCGAACGAGGGTAGTCGGAGGTGTGGGCTCAGAATACAGAAAGAAATAAAAAAGGGAGAGTGTTGCATGCAAGTAGTATAGGAATAGTTCTACACCGTATCCGTTGTTGACTGTGCGGCTAGTCGCGGAAGCGTACGGGCAATCGTACTCGGCGACCGGAACGTGAGACGGTAGTCTTGTGAGCCTGCAATCTCATCCGAAGTTAAGGGCTGCGTGGTCTGCTGATCTGGACGTGAGACTAGAGTCTCGTCCGTAGATGGTGCAGATGACGAGTGCTGTTGACCGGGACTTGAGAATGGAGTTTCAGATGTATCTAGCGTGGGATTTGTAGATTTAAGGATCCCGCTAGTAGGTTTGATAGGTCTAGCATTGGGTCTCGAGTTATCAGATAGGGCACTGTCATCGACGTGTGCTGATTTGAGACGATCAATGCTGACGACCTCGACTCGGCCATGTCGATCAACCTTGAAGGTCTTTTCGTGACGAGCGATCACGTGAAAAGGGCCTTCGTAAGGCTGTCGCGAAGGTTAGTGTACTGAATCTACTCGTATGAAAACATGTGAACAGGTAGATAATTCCTCTCGAGGAGCGACCTGTCGATGTTGTATTCGAGTTAACACCGGAGGCAGCGTTCGCATAAATGCAGTCAGTCGTTGGACGAAGTCTGATTTACCAAAATCAGGTCTGCTCCGTGGTGTGAAGAATTCCCCGGGCAGACGCAATGTCGTGCCGTATATCGGTTCAGCGGCGGAACATTGGATATCTGCCTTCAGGTTCGTTCTGATGCCTAAGAGAACGAGCGGTAAGGTTTCGTACCAATTGTCGTTTTCGTGTGCTCGATGAGCACTTTTAAGTTAACGGTGAAACCTTTCAATAAACCATTTGAAGCTGGGTGGTAGGCGGTAGTGCGTATGCGTTCCGTACCAAGCAGCCGGGTAAGTGAGGAGAATAGTGCGGACTCGAATTGTTGTCCTCGGTCAGTCGTGACAGTCGAGGGACAACCATATAGTGCTATCCATCGTTCTATGAAGCGGTGAGCAACTGTTCCCGCCGTAATAGACGTGATGGGACTAGCTTCGAGCCATCTTGTAAAACGGTCAATCCACGTGAGTATGTGATCATACCCATGCGATGATGGCAGTGGTCCTACAATGTCTATATGAACGTGATCGGAGCGAGCATTAGGCGTAGCGGACGTGCCTCAGGGGTCGGCTACGTGCCTGTGCACTTTGGATCGTTGACATTGTAAGCATTGCTTCGCCCACATACGAACATCTTTATTCATGGACGGCCAGACGTGCCGTGCAGCGATGAGGCGTAATGTAGCTGCGATGTCTGGGTGAGATAATCCATGTAGGGACATCAAATACGAGACGGCGGTGAACAGAGGGTACGATGGGTCGTGAAAGACCGGTAGATGTATCACATAGGATGGTGCCAGAAGTCGTGGCTAGTGGTACTACCTGATACTGAAGAGACGTAGGTCGTGGAGCTTTGGTACAACTAGGATCGTTCGCCTGGGCAGCGGTCATAGCAGAAAGATCGAGCATCGGCAAGGTTACTGCATTCGTTTGGATTCGTGATAGAGCGTTGGCACCACAGGTTCGACTCCCCTTTGATGTGACGAAGATCTGTCGTGAACTGACAGATAAAGTCAAAATGTCTGCACTCTCGTGGTGAGTAGTGGTCAGACTTGGTATGCAAAGCATACGTCAAGGGCTTGTGGTCGGTGAATAAGATAAAATGGCGTCCTTCTACTGCGTGCCGGAAGTGTTTGATAGCGCAGTAAGCTGCTAGCAGTTCGCGATCAAAAGCGCTATATCTCGTCTGCGTGGAGTAAGGCGTCGTGAGAAAAACTCGAGGGGTTGCCAACTACCGGAGATGTTTTGTTGCATGATGGCTCCTATGGCAAAATCAGATGCATCAACCGCTATACTAAGCGTGGCTGATGGATCGAGATGGGCGAGGAGTGTGGATTGAGCCAAAGCCGATTTGATCTCTGTAAATGCAGTACGCGCAGTATCGTTCATTTCTAATCTGTGTGGGTTTCCGTGAAGCAAGTCGGTCAGTGGTCGTAACCGTTCCGCCGCGTGTGAGATGAAACGACGGTAGAAGTTAACCAAACCGAGGAACAATTATGGAGTTTAACGGAATCACAAAATGGCTGTAATTATCACAGTTAAACAAAACGCATTAAAACAA